GATACTCAGGGGTCCAGCTGTGGATAATACAACCAACCCAGGGGTCTTGAACTACTTTACATGCAGGACAGAGCAGCAGTAGCATTTAAACTTTGTGAAACAGAGTGGAACAGCATTACTTCGGTTTAACAGATGTTAATAGGCACAAAGGTCGGAGAGACGACTTTGGAGTCTGTATTCTCCCTCAGGCTTCTCTAAACCTGGAGCTTCTCACCCGCTCCCAAAGTGGTGGTGGACTCAGTTGCAAGCACATGTCTCAAAAAAACTAAAGAAAAATGCAAACTTTTCAAAGTTAATGCATCATTTTTATTAATAATGCTAAACATCTTTCTTTGTCCTTTGGTTAAGGTGATTCTGGACACTGTAGTTTCCTTTTTGTACTTGTGCTTTAGCTAAAGACAGAGGGATAGAGAATAACATTATTCCACCAAAGGCATAAAAGATAGTAACCTTGGCACAAGGTTACTCGAAATACAGAATCTTAGCACCTTGGCTCACCAGAAATGTGGTTACTGTACACACTTCCTCCTTTGTTAGGAATCTAGGGAATTGCTCTTTCTCAGCTCTTCCTCTCCCTGCAGACAGAAAGGAAAGGAGAGCACAGATTCCTGAAATACAGCATGTTTGCTACTTACAACAGAGTAAAGGGTATCCCTAATGTTCCATTAATCCTTCTGGTAGCCACCTTGCTTCAGGCTTCCATTTTTAATGAAACAGTATAACTTACTCTGCTTTATTGTGTGTTTTTTTCTTCAACATTCATTATTTCTTTTATCCTATGTGTAGTTGGATTACTTTGTCATCATAATGCTCTTAGGATTCTTACGTTTTCCAGTGAGTTATAGGTTTCTGATAATAACATTAATTTAACATCTAAATGATAGCTCCTTCTGTACCATGGAGAACTGACTCCTTAATATCTTTGGGCCTCTGGTATTTTTTCCTTTATATCTGCAAGCTTTGTACTTTACCTTTTACCAATAAGCTTTTGGACTTCATTAGTACCTAGGTATGTAAAAGACTATTTTCTGTACCCGCTTTTAAGAAGTGTTTGGCAAGCTCAAAAGTAAATCGAGTATTGCACCAGGAATCTGTGAATGCATCACTATGGTAATCATGACTTATTCTATTCTTTTCTTACATTATGACACACCTTGCATAGTTACTGGCCAATAGAAAGCATTTAGTTAGTTTCTGCTCACCTTGTTTATTCATACTATGAGTGATACCATCTTCAGTATTTTCCTAGAGTTTGACATCTGGTTTAATTTGGAATTATTCTTGCCATGTTTTTCAAGATCTGTAGGGGTGCTTGAGTATTTACAACATGGGCTTTTGGAAGTATTTACAACATGGGCTATTCATATTTTTCCATGGTGATCTACCTAATCTTAACTCCAACATCAGTATAGGCTCCATGACCTTTCAAAAAATTGACCACAAGGGTTTTATACTGTCTTAGCATACATGGATTAGACTTGTGTCTGGATTAAATGGGTCCTCATTTAAGAGTAGTTAGTTACTGTTATGGCTTATGTCTAGATGTCCCCTGGACATCTAAGTGTGCTTATAGCCTGGGCTTTTGGGGGGAGTGACTAGATCATGTGTGTGATACTGGATCATGGGTGTGTGATACTGGATTAGCTCATTGATTGGTTTAGCATAATTCTGGATGTTGATGATGGATTTACTAAAGGGGGAAAACTCACTCTGGGTGTGGGTGGCACCAATCAATAGGCTTGTAGCCTGGATGGGATGAGAAAGGAAAGAAGAAGGAAGACTCACTGCTTCCTGTCTGCCTTGCCATGAACTGTTTCTCCTCTGCCATGATCTCCATCATGGAGCCAGCCAGATTATGGACTGAAACCTCTACAGAATGTGAGCTAAAATATACCATTACTCCTTTAACCTGCTGGTGTCAGGTATTTTGTCTCAGCAACAAGAAAGTAATAAAGCAGTTACCTATTTTCAGCTAGAACCTTTCATTGTTCTCCAGCACCATGATGCAATTTTAGTGTAATTAAACTTAGCCCAAAAATACATAATCACAGTCAGCTTTAGTTTTAGAAACAGTACTAGTTGCTTAATGCCTCTAGAAGAGCTCTCAGTTTCATTTATTATGGACAGGGTCTCACCACTGTCTCTTATTATCAACTGGAGAGCACAAAAGACACTGGTCTACTTCAGAGATCCTGGTTGAATTGGTCTTAGGTGGGGCTTAGTCATTTGCTTTTGAAAAAATGCCTGTCAACTGATTCAGAGGGTTGAGAACTACTGGGTAGCAGGTAAGGAGACTTCAGGCCTACTGACTACATTTTTTTCTTGTGCTAATCAACTTAATTAAACTCTCTTCTATAGGTCTCAGTGATGCGCCTCTTCTCATTTATGCCATATCTGCAAATTATGACAATAGAGGCAGAGAAACAATGGAGAAAGAGCACAGCTCTGGAGTCAGAAGAAGCCAGGGATATAGCTCAGTGGCATAAGTGCCTGCCTGGCAAGTGCAAGGTCCTGAGTTTGATTCCTGGTACCAAAAAAAAAAAAAAAAAAGAAGTTGGAGTCAGAAGAATTTAATTTCAAATCTTGTCTCTGTTTCTTACTAAAAGTGTGACCTTTGAAAAGATTCTTAAATTTCCATATGTTTAGATTCCCTATTAGTCAAATTGTTATTATAAAGTTTCCCCTTCAGTGAAGATTAAATTACTAATGTGATGTGAAATTATTTAGTACTCTACCCAGTACCTAATAGCTCAGTATATTATTGCTTTGCCTTTCTCTATTTCTCTTTTTCTTATTGCATCTTAGATAAAACAAGGGGCTTGGATAATATTTATTTATTCATTTATTGGTACTGGAAATTGAACTCAGGACCTCGAGCTTGCCAGGCAGGCACTTGTGCCCCTGAGCGATATCCCTGGCCCCACTTGGATAATATTTAAATGCTTCTGTGGCTGGGGATTTAGCTCAGCGGCAAAAGCACCTGCCTGGCAAGCGTAAGGTCGTGAGTTCGGTTCCTGGTACCGGAGAAAAACAAAACAAAAAAAACAAAACATAAATGCTTCTTATTTTTTTAAATCCAGTGAGCCTGATTCTTTACCTTAAGCAATGTGATTAGAGAATCACCGCCATGTATTCGTTTCTACAAATTCAGTTTGCAAAAAAAGGAGGTTATTGGCACAGTTATCAGAGGATGAAGTTGGAGTTTCTTTAAAATGTCCTGCTCATTTATTCTTATTTGACTCTGCTTTTTCATCCTGATATCTCTCTGAAGTACCTGACCCAGGTTGGGAATGTAGTTTCAATTGTGGAAACAAGATTTTTTGATTGAATGAAGTCATCTTTTTTATGTGGGCATCAAATCTCATGCTTTTTATTGCTATTCACTTGCTTCACTTCTATGACCATCCAAAGTGTTTTATCCTGGTAATAATGGTGGTAGCACCTGGCATTAGTATTACAGAATCTATTTGAAGTGATATACTTCAGAGGATCACAGGTGAAATCAGAAACATCTTTCAATTACTACCTGCATGACTCATTTTTTTTTGTCAGGAATACAAAATATTGCTGTATCTTGATCCATGCCCAGAGAGTCATGGGGGAATTCATTCCAATATAGTTTGGAATCTGGGAACAGTTCATTATTCATGGCAATGACTCAGGAAGTCATTTGCCTTGTTTGATGGTGACACATATCTGTCCTTTGCCTACTTATCTAGTTCCAACTGGAAGCTTAGGCAAAAGGGATTGGTGCCAAGCTTTGATTACTACCTAGTTCAGCTATCAGAGCAGAGAACTAGGAGAGTCTTCCAAGGCGCTCTCTCAAGGGAATCACTCATATTACAGCAGACAACCTCTCCATAGAAAAGCCACACTGATGATGATAATGTGTTTCTCTACTGTTTTCCAGTGCCTTGCAAAGCATAATGGGGGATGCAGCACAATTTAAGGATTAAAGACAAGGGATTAAAAATCCTTAAGAAAACTGAATCCCAATTTTAATTTCATCACTATTGTCAAAAGACAGGATCACAACAGATTTAGCTTGAACATTTAATTTGTTTTTATTTGTGACATTAGACTGTGATAAACCTTAGCCCCACAGCAAGTAAAAGAACTTCCAGGGCTGCAACATGGTCCAATATGGGCAGAAAATGGAAATGAGCTGTAGAGATGGCTTGATTGGTTACAATGTTTCGCCTTATTTGATTCAGTTGGCCACCTGCGATGACTGATGGTGCTGGCACTAAGATTTAGTCATTTGTTGTAAGAATGTACACCTGAGTTAAGCTTTCAGTTAATATATGTACTAAGTTGGATTACAGATTGTTACATAAAGACTCAAGGGTGGAGATATCTTGAGACCTAAATTTAATTTAACACCATCCATAGTAAGGGTCAGCAAACTCCAACCATAAAGGCCAGCTACTTATTATTTTAGGATTTGCAGGTCATGTGATCTCAGTTACAACCACTCAACTCTGCAGCTGTTGTCAAAAACTGGCTAAGCATGATTGTGCCCCAATAAAACTTTATTTATAAAAATTGGCAGTGGGTCAGATTTGGGCTGTTGCTGTAGTTTGTCCATCCTTTTTTTTTTTTTTTCCCAGTACTGGGAATCGAACTCACGACCTTATGCTTGCTAGGCAGGCACTGTGCCACTAAGCTAAATCCCCAGCCCTGCCCATCCTAATCTCAAGAATCTTGTACTAAATTTTCATAGTTTTCTAAGATTGTCTTTAGGATTCAAAGATATAATATGTGTAATAAAACACAATGTGTATAGCATATAGTAAGACCTTGAACAAAGTAGTATTATATTTCTTAATTTATAGTACATAACTTAGGCTGCCATGTCCTGGTGAAGCATCTGCATTTCAAAGATGCTAACACTAACTAATTGTAGTAAAAAGTTATATTTAGGGTTTTTCAGTCTTGTTCTACCAGTGGTAGTTTAAAGCTTTCTGTATAACATGTCCTTGTGATGTTTTTCTTGTCAGAGACACATGCCATGAGCTCCTGGGGCACGTTCCACTCCTTGCAGATCCCAAGTTTGCTCAGTTTTCACAAGAGATAGGTCTGGCATCTCTGGGAGCCTCAGATGAAGATGTTCAGAAACTTGCCACGGTGAGTTGACTTTCAGCTTGTATGCCCATTTGTAAGGCAGAGAGCTTCGGAGTCATTAAATATGGATTATAGACAGAATCCTGGAGAGGGCATGGTTTTATGTAATAGTGTTCTTTGGGAGCGCCATGAACTTTTTAGCTTTATTGACCCTCAGTATATTTGTATCATATCCTTTTTGTTCAGGAGTCAGCTAGATACAAGAGCTATACAGTAAGGATTTTAGGAGTGTGAGTCACATAGTGTCTGTCACAGTTACTCAGCTCAGCCACTGTGTACAAAAGTAGTCACAGACAAAGATAATGAATAAGCATGGCTATGTTCCAATAAAACTTTATTTACAAAAGCTGGTGGTGGAGCATATGTGGGCTATGTGCTGTAGCTTGATGACTCCACAGCAGAAGGTATGAGTTTAATGCAAAGTAGGAATTATCTGTTTGGTTAGCTGATATGGTTGTGGTCTGATGCAATGTGACTCAACAGTAAGCAACTCAGTTTCAACAATTATTCTAAGGAGAAAACTGGAGACATTCAATAGACAGTACCACCAAGGTTCTTCTCAGAACAAGTAGCAGTACAAGAGGAAAAGTATGATGTTGGCTGCTAACTCTAAGGTGTTTTTTTTTTGTTTGTTTGTTTGTTTTTTTGGTTTTTCTTTGGTACCGGGAACCGAACTCACGACCTTGCGCTTTTTGTTTTTTGTTTTTTTGGTTTTTTTTTGGTTTTTCTTTGGTACCGGGAACCGAACTCACGACCTTGCGCTTGCCAGGCAGGCGCTTTGCCGCTGAGCTAAATCCCCAGCCCCTCTAAGATGTTGAAGAGATAGATCTAGCAGGCTCCTGTGCCTTACCTTGGCCACATTTTAAAGAATTCAGACAAAGAAAAGATTTAGGAACCTTATATACCTACAAGGGCCAAAGGGTTACCTACTGAGCAAAACTACATAAGAAAAGGGGTATCTTAGATTGTATATAGCATAAAGAAATCAACTTTCTCCTAGATTTCTAAAAGCCTTTTCAGTATATATTGTTTCCTACTTTCAATAAAAATAGATATGGGGATTATGAAATATTTGTCTCCTAAGAAAGAAACCATAATAGAAACACTTTCAAGGACCCTTGGTATTAGCCTAGGTATGGGTAGGTGGTAGCAGGGAGAGCGGTGACCCAGGGGATTGTCTCACTGGTGGGTACCAGAATGGTACTTTGCAGCTTTGTGTTGCTAGATCTTCTGAAGCTTCAAAAGAGACTGACAATCTAGATTTTTAAATGAAATTTAATGATTTTAAAATTTTGGGTTATTAAAAAAACCCCACCATAATAAGCAGAGGAAAATATATTTGCAGACTGAATGTGGATCTTGACCTTCAGTTTGTAATCTTTATTGTGTGCATTGTATCTTGGTGTATTGGTTATCTAATAATAAATAAATTATCCCCTACCTTAGTGGCTTCAAGCAACGTGTATTTATGATTTCACAGTTTCTATGGGAGGTTAAGAGCGGCTGAATTGAGTGGCTCTGGCTCAGGGACTCTCATGCTGCTCACTGGGTCTGCAGCTGCCGAAGATTTGCAAGTCTTTCTCCAAGACAGCCCAGCTGTGCAGCTATTGGCAGGAGGCCTCAGTGACCTGAGCCTCTGGCTTTTCTTCTACAGAAAGTGATGAGAGAGAGAGAACAATCTAATGCATTTTGTGACTTGATCAAATATGACTCATGTTGGCCATATTCTATTCATGAGAGGGAACTCTCCAGCTTCCACTCAAGAGAAGAATTAATTTTCATTTTTTAGTAAAAGGAATGTCAATATATTTGTGGATAAAATTTTAAAACGATGACACTGCGAGTCCTGCTATTTAGTCCCTCAACCTCAGTTCTAGCTTTAAACTCCATGTTTGGAAACTTTTGTGTCTTTTAAATTGCTCTTGAAATCATCTGGTTACATCTCTGACTCCTACCGGTTGTACTCTTGGTCCGGGATGAATATATTCTTGGTCAAGCTGACTCTGAATAGCCACAAGCTCGCATTCAGCTCTGCCAGGCTCTATGTGAGCTCACTCTGTGTGTATGTGTGTGTGTGTACGCACCCATATGCACACAAACACACTCATACCTGTCCAACCAGAGGAGGAGAGGAATCAGGTAAAGTTAACAGATGTGGATGTAGGTAGATCCTGGTGAATACCTGTAGCCCTTTTAAGGAGCAGTGTTAAGAAAGCAGTTTCACTGTCCTTTATTTGTCTATTCTATCAAATGATTAATTAATTCCATTCCAAGTGTACTAACAATATAACATGATCCTCCTCACTTTTTGGAAATGTTTAGCCTATGTGGATAAAATTAAGTTTTTCAGAGTGAAGTTTTTGGTGAGTCTTGAAGGATAAGATAAAGTGGGCCAAGCTGGAGAGGGAAAGGGGCAGAGAGGGCCAGCTGCCGGGAGGACATGACATCGCTGTGGTTTGGCAGGACGGTCTTGCTTTCTGGAGGTGCTGGAAGGAGAATCTGTTCCCTAGTTTCCTCCAGCTTCGCCACTGCCAACTTTCTCTGGCTCAGGTCTCCCTTAGTCCATCTTTAAGGCCAGGAGTGTTGCATCTCTCTTGGGTTTTTTTCTATTGTTCCGTCTCTCTCCCTGACTTTGGCTAGAAAAGAAGCTTTGCGCCTGAGTGCTCTTGTGATTGGATTGGGGCTGCCTAATTCATTCATGATAGTATTCTCAGCTCAAGATTGACACTGCTAATCTACATCTGCAAAGGCAGCATATTCATGGGCTCCTGATGGTGGGAAATGGGTGTCTTTGGGGGACTATTATTCTTTGTGTCTACTTTTACACTTGCAAGGAAAACAAAACCAAACCAGATTAATAATTCTTCCTCAAAACCTATTTTACAAGGGCCAGCAAACTTGTAGGATGAACTTTTTTTTTATTGCTATTACATTTCTCCTCCCCAACCTTGCTCAGTTTCTTCTTTCCTTTTTAGTCCTTGGTTTTAAACCCAAGTCTTCACACATTTTCAGCAAGTCATCTACTATGAATTACATCTCCACTTTTTTTTTTTTAATTTTTAAAAACTTGAAGACAGGGTCTTGCCAGGGTGCCCAGGCTAACCTTGAACTCGTGATCCTTCTGTCTCAACCTCTGAGTAGGTGGGGTTACAGGCCTGTGCCACCACACCCGGGTTGGAACTTGCATTTCTTAACATCGTTCCAGTATCCTTGGCCTTGGATTGCCCTATTCCCAACAGCTAGAAACATTTCCATCTGGTAAAGCTTGTTAGGTCATCTGTTACATTTCTGTTTCTTTTTTTTTCACCCTCTTTCATTGTCCTTTCCCTGGAATGTACCTACTTTTCTGCAAAAGAAAATCCAAGTTAAAAGTATTAAGTGGCTAAAGGATCCTAGGCACCAGGAAGCAGGAGCAGGAAAAAGACAATAGGTATTACTGGTTTCAAGGAACTTAATCTAGTACATAGACAAGAAAGGAAAACCTAGTCGGTATCATGTTTTATTTATGACATGGCAGATATGTAGAAGTGGATTTAAGGCCAATCTTTCCGGTGTATGTGTGAGTTCTGTGTTCAATGTTAGAGGCTGGGATGCAGAACTGAGGGCAGGAGCCAGAAGTGATAGTCTTCTCTATACAGGAAATAGCTGCTGACAGGTGAAGGGGACCAGTTATCCAACGTGGCCAACCTGCCTACAATCTTGCAGTGGCTTTGACAGTTAAAAAAAGTATGTGAACTTGAAAAAGACTTCAGTGCATATGCTTTTCAATCTCTTCTGCATGCAGTGACAAATCTGAGTGCCTCACCCTGGTTTCACTTGATTTACTCATTGCTTTTTTCTTGCTATTGTCTTCACATTGAGCACTTCAGCAACTCCCTCTGAATTTGCTTTTCTCAATTCCAACTCCTTCCTATTTTGTAGGCTGGCCACTTATTTGGGGTAGTGTTTGGCCAAAGAAAAATTTGGAAAGAATTTTCTAGATTGTGTGCATGAGGAAAGGCTCACAGTGGGATGAGGCTGGGGTGACTCTTCCTGACACGATACTAAAATTGCTATTGACTTCCAGAACCACATCCTATCCCTCAGTTCAAAACAAAGTGACTGGAAAACTGCCAGAAGTATAGTCTTGAAAACACAGTTAGATTCCAACCAGGCAGTTTCAAAGTAGCCTCTGGAATGAATAGCCTGTTGGATAGCATACATATTAATGATCCTCAAACAAGCCATGTAATGCAGCTAGAAGGCAAATTCAATGATTCACTTGCCAAGACTAAAAGATTGTCAGGCCTTACTGACAGGGGTAAACAGTCCCGTGATAGAACAGCGCGCTGGCTGGCTAGGCCAGATGAGAAATGCAAGCACTATTAGTTGATCTCCTCAAAGTTGTTTGCATTAACTTTCTTGAAGAAGTACTGGAGAAAAATGAGAGATGAGCTGCACTAAAGGAGAAAAATCCATAGAAAGGACAAATGGAAAATCACAGAAGCCACTCTTCATGCAGAGCAATGAGTCAGGTCATACTGTTCTTTTACTCTAGGTGAGATTTATATTATTAATGACTCTATTTACACAATGCCTGCTTTTCCTTGCTTAGTGAATTTAAGCACTTATGAAAAAGACAGTCACGCCCAGTGAAAGCAAACACTCACTAGCTTTCTGTGATATACTGTCAACAAATCTGTCTAAGGAAGAAAACAACCTCCAGTAGGACTAATTGGCTCTGCCAGACTTGGTTTTGTCCACAGCCACTTTTGGACTTCTGGGTCTGACTTTCAGAGGGATCAGGCTATGCTGTCTGTAACCACTGAATCACTTTGCTATATTTCTGCATGGTATTTATTTTGACATTTTAATAATGCTCAGTTTTGACAGTGAAGCTATCTCTACTGTTTTATGTGGGCAATTGTTGCTATGCCCTGAGAACCATTTAAATGAAACTCTTTTGTATCTGAAGAAATTGATGATGAAGCTTGAAAATGTATTTCAAATGCATTGTTACACAT